AAAAAAACCATTCCTCTCTAGGTTGCCTTCATTCTTTCCAATTTCATTACCAGACACCTGTGCAGCTTGAATCAGAAATAACTTTCACAACACAAAAGCATGAGAAGCAACTCAAGGGAAGGGATATTCACCATATAATTAGTTTTAAGGCCTTCTGGGTTACATTTGATGATGAAGATAGTTTGAATGGTTTAATGTTTTAGGCATAGCCAATGAGCCAGTTTAAACTTTCTTAGCAAAATTAGGCTGCTAGAAGCAATGACAATGTTTGTTATTGTTGATCACGTGAATAGTTTTTCTCTTTTCTCTTAATTAGCACAAGTGGGTCTGACAGCTCCCAATCAGATGGTCCTCCTGCCCATTTGCTCAAGATGGTAGAAAAGGTGAGAGCTATGCATTTTCAAAGAATAATTCCAAATGGAAAAACTGGAAAATATAAAATACAAAAGTCAAAAATTTTATTACCCAGTGTCTGCTATTATTGTTATTTATTCAAATTTATTATATTTGTTATTTGTTTTTGCTACCTACCATAAGGTGAAAGGAAATGGTGGTTTCACTTTGTGTAAAATTTCCAATGCACCAGTGGTGGGATACAACCAGTACACCCCGGTACGGACTTACCGGTGCCTGCTGGGAGCACCAGGTACCATTCCACCCACCCTCCTTACCTGTATTTGAGCTGATTGGGGCTTTTGTGCATGGCCACGGAGCATGTGGCGCTTGCGCGATGCTCCGCTGAACAGCTGGAGCATCGCAGAACGTCATGGGCGGTAAGTATGCATGCAAGTTCTATGTGCCTACATGTGGTGGACACCCAGCCAGTTGCACCGTGCTGGTTGCAACGGGATACGGAACACATCACTGCAATGCACCTTGCACTTTGCGCCATGAAGCACTGATTAGCTAGCATCCATTTGATTTATGTTTCTGATTTTTTCCTCCTCTAGTGATCTCAGCATTGCAGGCATTTGCTGTCTCATTTTCCTGGGGAGGAGTGGAAGGGGGGGGGGCAGACAGGAAACCAGCAGACACTGATTGTGTTGATTAAATAGATAACTGTTTCCTAGTCGTCTGTTGGATGAACACTCAACAACCTTCTGAGCCTTGCAAATTTAATTGTGCCACTGGTTTCAATAGGAAAATTGAGTTAGCTATTTTCCATTTAGAGCCGGCAGTCAGCAGCTCTTGGTTGTATTGTGGAACAGATACCTTCAAAAATAAGATTGGCAAAGCCTTGGCCAAGATCCCATAAAACAGAATTTCCTGTAACTTCCTTCTGATCTTTGTTCGGAGTTGCAGTTCTTGTATTACCTTTGCATAGAGGATTTTGAAAATGTTGGCTTCTCAGCATCTTTAGCCCTGTGTAATAACCATGATAAACGGGATGCAGTGGCTCAGTGGCTAAGATGCTCGGCTTGTCAATAAGAAAGGTTGGCGGTTCAACTGTTCAAATCCCTAGTGCCACGTAACGAAGTGAGCTCCCATTGCTTGCCCCAGCTTCTACCAATTTAGCAGTTCGAAAACATATAAAAATGTAAGTAGAAAAATAGGAACCACCGACAGCATTTAATCATGCCGGCCACATAACCATGGAGATGTCTTCGGACAGCACTGGCTATTCGGCTTTGAAACAGAGATGAGCACTGCCCCCTAGAGTCAGAAATGACTAGCAGATATGTGCGAGGGGAACCTTTACCTTTACCTTATTAACCATGATAGCCAAAAAGTTGTAGCTGAATGGATCCACCTCAAAGATTTAGTTTGATTTATCCAGAACAAACGAGTTATCCAAAATGAGTTCTTCCTTTAGTGGTGGTGAAATGAGGACATGACTGTTTTAGACTAAGATGGACAATTTGGATCGCTCAGAAGCTTGGTGGTCATCTCAGGAATTTCCAAATGTTGATATCTGTTTTCAATGGAACAGGAAAAAGTGTGACTAAATAAGCTATTGAAAAATAAAATTATTCATTCTTTTTTATTTTAATGTCATGTTAAACCAAATGGAATCAGCTTTAGTTTTTGCCCTTTTTTTACTCACTAAGCCACTCAAAACCTTGGATAGCATGTGATATCTCTCATTCTAAGCAACACACATCCCATAATTGGATATTTTATTATTTCTGCAGGATCAGATAGAGTCAAATTCTGTTGCAGAGTTTGTGGTTGCATTAATCTAGGAAGATTTTGACCCAACATGAGGAATCCATGAATCATGTGATCTCTTCTGAAAACTTGGTTGCATTCTTAGTATTGCTTAAAGTTTCACCCTGGAATTTGTTCCTGGAATTCAGTAGTTTGATTCATGATGAGATGGAATGATCCACAGCAGAAATATAAAGTAAAATTTATTTTTTTGATGCTATATTTTCTGATGGTTACAAGCTGTCATAGAGTCTCTCCAACAGTATGGTAAAGGTTCCCTTCGCACATATGTGCTAGTCGTTCCCAACTCTAGGGGGCAGTACTCATTTCCAACAGACGGTCATCTAAATCTGTGTGAAGACCTCAAATGAAGGAGAACTTAACAGTTCATGTATCAACCTCTTCCATTGGCTTATAGCTCCTAATATCCTTTTGTTGCCAAGCCTGTACATCATTATAGTTTTGGACTTGCCTCTGGAGAAACAGACAATAGACAGTTCGGGTCACCATGATCCAAAACAGATGTTGAGACTCTAGAAAGAGTGTAGAGTGTATGGAAGAGCAACAGAGATACTAAGAGGTCTGGAGGCTAAATCATATGATCATTGGCTAAGGGAACTAGGTATGTTTATCCTGATAAAAAGAAGGCTCAGGGAGACATGATAGCAGTCTTCCCATACTAGAAGGGCTATCGCAGGGAGCAGGGGCTCAATTTATTCTCCATAGCACCCAAAGGCAGAATAAAAATCAATGGATAGAAGCTCATCAAAGAGAGATCCAGCCTGGAACCTAAGAGGAATTTCCTGTCAGAACAATTAACAAAGAAAGAAACAGCAGTCTGTAATCTTTTCTGAAGTTGCATTCTATAATTTGTTGTGTTCATGCTGGAAATGCAAATGATAAACAAGTGTTAATTTTTTAAAAAACTCTACCTACTTTGTGAGAATATTGCATGCACTTCCAAAGCAAAAAGTTCTTGTGGTTAAATATTGTGAAAATAAGAGGATTACTAAATAGTTCACACTGAAAAAGTGAAACAAATGAGACAATATAATGACTAAATATAATATAATGACTAAATGACTATAATATAATGACTTGAACTAGGTAGATTCAGATTCATGTTGTTTTGACTATAGAACATCCTGGGGGATTTAGGGCTAATTATTTTCTCTTAGCCAGAAGTATCTCAAACAATTGGTATAAGGAGAAAAATACTACTCTCAGATTCAGGATATAAATTCAGTCAATAATTTTAAAATTGATGGTTAAATAGTTTGTTCAAAATCTAAGTAGCCAATGTCCATAACTCAGGATAAACTACTGTAGAAGTTCAAGAATTCTATTTTTAAATGAGAAATCGCAGCTTTATATAATAATAAAATTTCACAAACTGACTACCTACAACGCCATGACCGCATTGCTAAGATTATTCACTGGAAATTGTGCCAAAA